TCTGGGGGCAGACTGGAAGATTCCTTTTTACTGCCCTTGTCCAAAGACATTACCTGCTTGACAAAATAGTCAGACCCTTTGGGATATACATACCCATCGTCCCAGCATGTAATCTCGCCAGTCTCCCAATTCATGCATGGTTTGAATTCCTTTAAGAATGGCATGCCGAGAAGGATATGTTCCTTTCTGACCAGTGGCCTGACATAGCACTTGACTTGAATGATGTGCTCCTTGATTTCCATTTTGAGGGTTACCTTTTGAGTGACCCATTCGACATCTTTTCCTGTGAACTTGCTCTTGACTTGATAAGTCAGGATTCCAAGTTTTTGAACCATCCATTCTGAGATGAGGGAAACTTTGGCACCTGAATCAATACAAGCCCAAATTCCTGCTTTGAAGTCCGGCAGTATGACCAACCCAAGAGGGGAATGAATTCGCATATTTGATTCATCATCTATAGAAGTACATTTAGCAGACAATATAGCAATGGGACTGACTGTTGCAGGAGATTCGTCAGTCCCCTTTAAAAACCCAACAACTTTTGTTCCTCCACATTAGCCTCATGATCTCCGACATAAGCGGTCTTCATGCCATCCTCTGAAAGGACAATGTGGACATTGGAAAGTTGGGTTTTGACCTTGATTTTGCAGTCACACTTGTAGTGACCTTCGGCTCCACAGTTGAAGCATTTAATTTCTGATCCGGAACATCTAACATTCTGTTTTCACTTGTCAACGTCCATCGCATCAGGATCTCAGGAACCTCCATGGTAATGAATGATTTTTCGTTCATACTGAGATTCCTTCCCTTCTAGGATGTGCTTCATAGCGATCATGGTTCTTGCTTCTCCTGTGCACTGTATCCACTCTATGACCATGGAAGGGGCATGCCCAGAGTTGAGAACCCAATCACAGTATTCTTTATTCAAGCCTTTCCCAAAGAAGATTCCTGCTTCATGTGATTCTTCCTTGAGTTGAGCCTTGTTAACAAGCCCCATAAATTTGGTGATGTAGGCTTCTAGTTCATGTTTGCCTTGCTGAATGTCTGAAAGGCAGAGTATTGCCAAGGCAGTCTGGTTGCCAGACTCAAAAGTAGCTTTAAGATGTTCCATGAACCTCTGGAAGGTGTCTGTGTAATAAATTGTTCCGTCAAGAAGCTTGTTTTCGTTTTGATAATTTTCGGTGAATGATACTGCAGCACCTTTGGTCATGTAGGTGAGCGCAAATGAGATCTTGAGTGACTCTGAATTGTAGACATGCTTGTTCAGGTTCAAATAACCTTCAACCTGTGTAATCCAGGTCTGAAGCCCATTGTGGCTTCTGTCATATTCTCCAGGATGCCCGACATTAAACTCCTGACCTCCATTGGGTGGGTGGCAATCATACGAGTCATCAGCATCAGCTGGGGCCTTATCCTTACTGGACCCTGCTAAGGGGACCTCTGGGGGAACTACCTTTCCGAAGTTTCTCTGATACCAATCTCGTAATGCCGAGTCCATAGGCATTCCTGTTGGAAATGAGTTGCTACTCCTGGCATGCATAGCTCAATGGAGCTCCTCTGCCATAGTGAGCCATTGGGATTCCAACCTTTCTCTCAGCTCCTCTTCTGAGAAGGTCCTTGTAGGCATCTCAGGAGCTGTTTCTCTGTGACTGAGTGTCATGGACATAATGGGTAGTTTGCATGCTTCTTGTTCTTCCTTGAGGACTGATCCAAAAGAAGTTTCGGACTTTTGATCATCTTCTTCTTCTGAACTAAGCACAACTTCTGAATCCCTAAACTGGGATAGATATGACAACCGAGGGGCCTAGTCTTCCTAATGGCACGGGTGGTAAAGGAGGGTTCCTTCCAAGCCCAAGGGGATTTGGTCGAGGAGGGACTGGGGGTCTCGATTTCTGAGGGTTAGACACTTTAATGAGAAGTGATAACGAAGGCTGAGGGAGGATTTATTTCTCGAAAGAAACCTGTCAGCATAAGGTTGATGGTTGTGCGAGTGACTTTACATGTAGGGAGAAACAAGCACTCACTCTAGGGAGGCAATCTATTAAAGCCTAGTGGCTGCCTGTAGAGCGGTGGATTTGATTTAGGGTAGAGGGATGCTTCTTGATCTTGTTACTCGAGGAGTGGGACAGAGTGAGTCAGTCTTTACATGTAGGGAGACCAACGAGCCTTGTTTGTTAGAGGAATTGGTTTGTTGAAGTTCAGTAACCAGGGACAAGTAGACTTTCATGAAGAGGTCAACAAATCCCAAAAACTGTGCTGAGTTTTTCGATTGTGTTATGCCCAAGCATGGTGGCTTCTTCAAATGGAATAGACACGACATGCACAAGGGGGAGTCTATGGGCCGAACTTACTGTAACCCCTATGGCTCAGTTATCTCTAAAGTCTGACAAAGGTTCTGTCTTCTGGCAATCCATCTTACAAGAGGGAGCACAGAGAGAGAATGAGGACGAGAGAGAAGGAAGTTAGCTGAGTTGCAAGATATCAAAAAACTGAGGATACAAAGTAAAGTATGTGAGGTTATATACTGCTAAACACAAGTACTGTACCAGTCATGAGAGATGCATATCCACAGTAATCAACAAAACAATCAACAAAATAAATAAGAGTCATACAGTGTCACATGATGGGGGTAGGGAGGCAATGAAGGCTATACTGGCTGCACAATCAATGCACAGCGAGGAGCCTGACACCAGACCTATTGTACAACATCCAAGCAACATAGATGGGTCAGAAGTGAGTCAGTGGATCATGAAAGAAACAAGTCATCCATCAGAGAGGGTGGTGGAATACTGGATCATGTGGGTAGTATGCTGTCAACAGGAATTGGCAACACCTTGACAGCAGGTGATCCAAAGGACCCTTCCAACATACAGGCCCCTAGGATGGCAACAGTTATCAGGGACGCAATGAGACATGTGATGCATGTGACTGCGAGGAATTGAAAAAGGAAGGACCCCTGACAGAAGCATAACAATCTCTTGCATGAGACAGTCAACATATTTCCAGAAGTTGGTCATGTTCCAGGTGCACTCAGTGTCCAGTGTGAGTCAAAGTGAGGTTCAGTGGTGAAAACCAACCAAAACCAACACAAAAGACAATGAAAGCGAGTGGTGGTGTGCCTATGCGGTACCTAGATGGTAGAACCTGTTCTTTGGGAGGGTTTTTGCGAGCTACAACACTCAAAGATGAGTGCTGAGGGTTGGGGGTGCTTCTGACAAAGAGGGAGCAAGAATGTGATAGAAAGCGATAGGGTAGACTGCTGTCAGCCTACAGAAGGATGGATGGTGACTTAATTCAATGTCCTAAGCTGTACTGAGCTCAGGGAGGGCTTGGAGCAAAGTATATGGATGATAGATGATGATAAGCAAAGTAGATGATAGCTAGACCCTTAATAAAGTCTCAACTATTGAAGCTGATGAATGATTTACTGAGAGATGATAAATTGCGAGCAAGAGGGGCTCTCTGATGTCTTCTTCTTTTTTTTGCTACCTAAGTACAGTGACTTATATACAGTACAGGGGCATTGCCTATGGAAAACAAGGTGCAAACACTTGGTAAGTGATTGGTAACTGATGAGTAAGGAATGTAAGCAATGGGTAATCGTCTTGGAAAGCATTGGTAAGCATTGGTAAGGATAAGTAAGCCAAAAAGCGAAGAATCAGTAAGCAAAGTCAAAAGATTGGTAAGTATTGGCAATAGGTAAGTCAAAGACAGTCAGAATGTCACAGTATGAGTCAAGCAATGTCAGGAACTGGGAAAGTGCACTGGAATCACATTAGGGGGAGGCCATGCATGTCACATCTCAAAGAGATCACTTCTAGGCCAAAGTGGGATGACAGAGAGGCAGCACTGATCTGATGCTGATATAGTACATCCAAAAGCGGACAGGGTGAGTCAGATGTCAACAGGGGCCAAGCTTTGGGGGTCTGTGGGGTGACAGGAGCATAGGGGATCACAACTTTCCCCCCCAAACCATCCTCTCAGTGAAGCAAATAAAAACCTCATGAATGAGGCTCTGTTGGAAGAGAGGATGAAGAGGGAGCATCTTCTGCTGTATCTTGCAACAAGGAGGCAAGATGTGCATCATACTTGTCATGGATGCAATCAGGGAGAGTGGAGAACAGTAGATTATACTGTAGCTGTCGCAATTTTGGAAGAACAATGGACAAGACCAGTATAAAGACGTTGCAGGGGGCAGGGAGGAAGGATCCATATGCTTCTTGGACTGGAGAGACTGAAACAACCACATAAGACCTTTCCAAGCAAATGACAGACCTGAGGCAACCAAAGAATGTCCTCCTGGAGGTCATACTGACAAAAAGAACACACTGTCCAAGCTGGATGGGCTGAGAGGGGGCAGATGAGGGTGGGATGTACCAGGACACTTCAGGACGGAAGCTGGTAGGAACTCCTGGTAGATATATGTAGCCATGGTCCCTAGCAAAGGGGACAAGTGAAATGACTGATGTGGAGGCAGCCATATCAGAAGAATTAGCGAAATGAGCATCTTTTGGAGGGAGTGCTGTAGAAACATGTGGAGTGTGCAAATCCTTTCCAATCCTGGAAGGTAGGATCACATGGCTGAGCACTACAAGTGAGTGTGGGAATGGTTTCGGTGTCTGCAGAATTGGTGGAGATATGTTGAAAACCAGAATGCTGTACATGGGCGCTTAAGAATTTTATTGGTGCTTAACCTGCCTCCTCCTTTTTCTTTGGCATTGACAACTTGTTCTTGTGCAAGGGATGACTGCCGACATTGCTGGCTGTCCTTCTTCGCATGAGGGCTATGGTCTTCACCTCCATTCATCAGCTATATCCATGTCCACCTCACCTTTTACAGAACCTGCTACTGATGTAGACGTCACAGGGGTTTCCTTGTTCCCATGTTCAGCAATAGCTGCCTCCTTGGTATTTCCCCTTTTTTGACTACACACAACTTTGGCTGCATTCAGTTGTAGTGAGTGATGGTCAACAACAATGGAAGAGCCAATTTGACTGTGGAGAGCCTTTGGAATGACAGCAGAAATGAACTGATAGTTGTGCAATGCATGAGTATTGAGGAGATAAGCATCTGTTGATGTATGGACAACAGTGGGGTGCATCTTTGTTGTCTCAACATGCTCTTGTTGAACAGGCACATGTTGCATTTCTTTGCAGTTTTTCCCCTCTGCCATGCAGTCATGTTGCACATTGACCACACACAATATATCCTTCCAAAAGATGAGTACCATGTAACAATAACTCCAACAATCTACATACCTCTGGAGTGACTATGAGTTGGTGGATAGTTTCTGGAACCCTGAGCTGTGGCACATGAAGGGTTGGATGAAGTTCAGGCAAAAATTTAAAACAGTGCACAGCAATGTGTTGTGCATGGTGTTTCCCATGTGGAACAAGGATTTCATCCACCATAGCCACACAAAGCTGAAGACATTTATCAGCAATGGTTGTGCCTCCTTGGAATATGCTTACCCCCATGTCTTCAGGAGCTTTTTTCAAGCTGTTATGCTTAACAACAACATGACTTCCAACAGCTGCTTTATCAAGGCTGACAGTAGTAAATGCTGGGCATTTATAGTAGAGGCTATTTCTTTTTGACACTTGACCATCCTCACCAGGCATGTTGATGGTTGCAGATAAAGTCAGGTGCCACTGAATGCATGGGGAGATCTTGCTTCTCTTTCCTTGGTCCCCTGGAATTGTTGGTAATTGTGCATAGCCTGTCAAGCACTGAGTGAATATGTCAATACTACAGCAAATAGGCAAGCCTACCAGGTGATTTCTCAGATGAACTGGGCAATCCTAACCAATCAGACTGCTCTGGATGTGCTTTCAAGAATGTTGTGATGTGCTCCCCTGCATGCACCCATTTCTTCATCTTCTCATCATACCAATGCCCCCCAGTGACCATATGTTTGATAATATCTTGGCCTGAAAATGCTTGGCAAGTATCATGGCTTGGTGCCTGTCAATTGCTATAAATTGATGCCAACTGGAAGACATGGTTAAATGATTCATATCATTCAGTGGAGAATAGAATTGCAGGCCCAAAGCGTTGAATGTAGTCAGGAAGGTGGAGAAGGAAGTGAAACTTGGCCTTGGTAATCAGGATGCTGGGAGCACACTTGGCACTAATGCTGAGAAAGTTCTGAATTGTGTGAGTTAATGTTGCCTGAAATTTATTAATGCCATGAACAATCAATGCATCAGTGCACTCACTAAGTATTCATCCACATCATCAATGGCTGTGTGCCATAGGAGTACAATCAATTCACCAATCACTGTCCAGCCATCCAAGACATGTTGTGGGACAAGGTCATATATTAGATATGGCATGACCTGAGCAAGGCTTTTGAAGTGCTTTCCAATAAGTCCACCCTTGTAATGACAAATATACTCTGCTCCAAGTGTAGGTGAGTTGAGACCATCTTTGTTAATGGACTCCAGCCATGCCTTGCAGAGGTTGAGTTATTGGGCCTTCTCAAGAATATAGGTGGTCAGTCCCCAGAAGTATTTAACAATACCAAGAAGAATAGTGTGGAGGATTTCTGTTGGTGTATCCTGATGGATGTTGACACCAGGCATTCCAAGAAGTGGATTTATATGGTCATCAAGAGACAGTCCACCCAATGCCAGTTCAAATTCCTTTTCCAGCTGCACCTGAACCTCTGCTTCAGGCTTGGCTGGTACTCCTGCCTTGCACTTTCTCAACTGCTTCCCAAGCTCCAATAAACAGTCTATGATAGACATTGACACTGGGTCACATATGCCAGAACTGGCAACTGCACTCTTGAGTTTCTCTGTTCCCCCAGGCAGCTTAGCCAACTCCACCTGCTTCTTGATCTCTGCTAATGGTCTTTCAGGGGTGTGGAGTTCACCACACTGGACTAAAAGTAGGTCAGTCATCCAATGTGACATGGACTGTACACACCTCAAATAGATTCATATAGCCAGAGTCAGACATCTTCTCTTGATTTGTTCCACCAACATTACATGTCCTGCAGAAGTAGTTGCAATGAAGTCCTGCATGGCTGAACTCCTCTGCCTGCATTGGATTGTCTCCTGCAATGAAAACATTGTATGCAATGAGCATGACCTCTGTTTTGTACTTGCAGTCCCATGTGATGACTCCCTCCTCCATTGTTTTCCTAATTATGACAGAGTCAGAAATCAATTGAACTCTGCACAATTTGGTACTCACCTTACAGATTTTGATACACCATTCATGAGCTCCAAGGGTGTAGCATGTGGTGATGATGTAACAAAGCAAATGCAAAATTCCTTCTCAACCATTTCCCTTGGCATGGATGCATTGGACATATAGACAACATGATGCTTGTTCCATCGTTTTGATATGTTGCCTGAGACATCATCCATGAACAGGATGAGAGGGACAGATAGCACTAAACAACCTCCAGACTTGATATGGAGTGGATTTGGCATAAGTTTTCCAAAGCATGCTGAGGACTCTACAAAAACATTTCCACCAATAAAAAACATGCCAAAAGGAAAAACTCACCTGTAAAGCCATTTTTGAATTCATCATTATTTGCCTGGATATCTGTAAAGGTATGAAAAAATGTTGTGATGGGAGTAATGACTTGTTCTGGATCAACAGAAAAGCCAATCTATCCAGTGTCAGTCAGTCATGCAGCAGCTCATCACAACTCAGGTCACTTACATCAGTGCATGAAACTGAATGGCCAATTGCCAGGATCTCTGGGTCTTGCTCAGCATTCTTCTGCACACAGAAGAACTTTGTTGGAATAAAATAAGCCACATTGCATTTTTGCAAAATTTCATCAACAAAGTATACATTGCTTCCAACCTTAACACTTGGTGGTGCAAGACCTTGTGGAAGACCATGCAGCATTTTCTCCCCATAATAAACCTGAGACATTTTTCCTTCACCTTCCTCTGGGAAGTCCTGCATCAGTAAGGTGTGTAAGTGGGTTGGAATAATCCTGAGATGAAATACAAGTTAGCACTGGGCTGGGCATGAGTGATTCATACTCTTACCATTGCAATTAATTTTGCAACTGAATTCATGTAGAATGTTGTGCCAGATGGCACTGTAACCTTTTCAGTTGGATCCCCCATCAACTTCTTTATCCTTTGGTAATGTTTTCTTCATACTGTAGAGAGATGGGATACCAGTTACCCCAATGGCACATGCCCAACCTAAGATTGCTCTTTTCTGGACCTCAGAGAAACACAGACATGTGGTGAGCTAAACAGTAAGATGAGTTCTAAACTCCTGTAAACTCCATTGCTCTAACAACTCATTATCTTGAATAAGACAATTTAATTCATACCATCATGTTTGACCATGGATAGGTTGGGCAGTCAGTGGGTACTTCTTCTGGTGAGACAAATTGGTTTGGAGTGTTTGGAGCTGCAGCAGAAATATTCAGTCTTGACCCCTGAAAGACAAAGGTAAACATACTTATCACATCCTCACATTCAAGATCACTCCAGTGTGGATCTCCATCTTCATCAAAACTTGTATCCATCTCAGTCCCCAATTCTTCACCTGATGCTGGCAATGGGCATGAGAATAATGACTCTCCCCTCTTGAAGCATCCCCATGATTTCCTCATAATAGTCAGTGGATGTCAGCTCAATGGTTTTGTGTTTTATCCCATATGACATCAATGGCATTACCATCCACATCTCCCCCACTTCCATACAGTGAAATGCCAGGAATATCTGCAAGTAGAGCTGGAGGCACCTGCAATGGGGGTGAGCTGATATTCATTGGCTCAGGTGATACCAGTGATCTATCCATTCCATGGGACTCCTCAACATCCACCAGATTTGACTGATGCTTGCTTGTGCTGGCATGCTTAGGGACATGACAGCAGTGCATTGTCAAATATTCACCATGCTTCCCTGGACAAACCAGGCATTGAACCCTGTCTGCACCAGGAACAGTCCTGAACACTGCATTTGAAAGTTCAGTTTCAAACTTACAGTACTGTTCAAGCTCACCTTTGGGGTCTGCCAATGCCTGGTGCTCTGCTGAATATCTGGGCACTTTGCAGAAAGGTAACTGTGTAAATTGATTAAAGCTAGGAAATTGTGAGTAGTACACTGGTATGTACCACTGCAGGTATGAAGGGTACAGTAATTTACTACTCACAATTGGAATTGCACCCCCTCAGGTGTGTGGCTCCCTCTGGATCTGATCAAGTGCTGTGGGGACTGGTGGTACACACACTTGTGTAGATCAATGCAACCTGGGGGGGTGAGTACATCAACATGTACATACATGAAAAATGGCCCATTACCTACTGACGAGCTGACTTGTCTGGGTAATCTGCAAGTCCACTGAACTGCTTATCAGTAGTGTTGATTTTATTGAAACTGAGACTGAGTTAGGGTGTGATTCCTACTCGATTATTGACAAGGGAATTGATGGGGATAAATTGACAAGCTCAACTCACATTCACAGACCAATTCTTGAAGTTTAAGGAGCTTGACAAGGTGCTGGACATCTGCTGGTGAGCATATGTTATCATGCACTGATCATCCAGCATGGCAGTGATGTCACATGACTGACACCAACTGCTGTTTGGCATTTTGTGCCATCGACAACACCACCAACCCCATGTGCACCAGAATGGCTATGGCCTCCATCAATGTGTCTACCATCCAATGTGTCAATGGCATTGGTCTCAGTCCAGTAAATTGTTCAATCTCATTTGATGGCCACTTGAACATTGTTGATGCACTGCCTTGCATTGTGAGGCATCCTATTTCTTTCACCATCTACTGACACATTTTACCATTCACAGCCTATGCAGATATCTATCCATGTCCCCGAAGAATATTCATGCCTTAGGCCATCTTTGCACACCTATGATGCAATGCCTCATACCCCACTTCAACCTCTGTCACATGTAAGTGGCTCATATGGTGTTGTGCATTGCTGCTGACAGATTTCACAGACAGATTTTCCTTACCTTCCACTTTCCCCTACTTTTAACCATCTCAAGTGGTGCAGCATGGGCTTCCCTCACTGATGAAATTCAATTTTGGTTGGTCCACAGCATCACTGAGAAGCATTCACCCAACTGGCTATGGAGTCGGGAATTTTTCTGGATGGCATTCATTGCAGCCTTCCCTCAGTTCCCCCACAATGTGTGGCTGACCTGGAATCCATTGATCCCAATGGAGGGTCTGTTCATTTGCAATTGGGTTTCAGAGCTGAACTCAGGTATGGTCAGCTTTGATTCACTGTCATCCATCAGAGAGCTTGTGTGGGAGAAAGTGCAGAAATTGTCTGCTATATTAATGTTGTCATATGAAGACTATCATGTACACTCTTGAGTGCCTGTAGGGTAGCAATTGATTGCCATTTGTTGTCCTTGTGAAAATTCACTCCCTACCTCTGAGCAAATCACAAGTTTGCATTAATACTGGTGTTGATGTCTGATTTACAAGTACTACAGGTACAGTAGATCTAGACTTGATGTTACTTTAATATTGATAGAAGGTTAAGTATTATATCAATTTGACTGTGTGCTACTTCATTAATGTAGCATACAAGCATAAGGATTGTGGTGATAGAAATCTGAGGCACCACTGACCCTTGAGTGACCTAAAATTGATGTTCAAAAACTTGGGATAAAACAGCCCAAGAGAATTCTTCTAAAACAGATACTTGGCCTAACATTCACGAATTGGCTGGGAAATGTCTATTTCAAGGCCAAGTTCCGATTAAATATATAATTTTCATCAAATGTTAGGTAACTGTTAGCTACATTTGGCTGTGTAGTGCAGGACAGTCTACACATGGTTATATGGCATAAAATCTGCACATTTATTTTTCACAGCTGCACTGCCACACCACTGCGCTCATTCAGCCACATCATTACTTATTGCGGTCATGCAACTGCACTACCATGCCCTCTCAACCACATCATTACCTTCTGCAACCATGCCACCACACCCATTCGACTGTGTCATTACTTTTTGCAGTTGCACAACCATGCTACCACACCCTTTCAGCCACATTGTTACCTTCTGCAACCACACCACCATGCCCTCTCAGCTGCATTGTTACCCTCCACAACCACACCACTCAACTGCATGTTGCATAACAATACTATGTGTATATTTGTATATGCCTACATAACATAACAATCAATCAATGATTGAATTTTGCATGAGGTATATAGAAACAACAATGATTGTGTTGGCTAGTAAATTTACCAAGTGGTGGGTAACATGAATGTGAACATATCAATGAATGGTATTGTAGAAGTTATTCAAATCTCTGACAACTCCAATGAAAAAAAACTTTGCTGTCTCCTCCTGGACAAGCTGCATCCTTCATCTCCTCCATCAAGGGAGATTGACGAGGTGGAGAGTGAGATTGATGAAGTGAGGGAGACCAATGAGGGGAAGATGGCAGGGAGTGCAAGTCTTCACAGTACTTGTCTCACATGTAGTTGCAACCAAGTTCCTGATTGTATTCCCCATTGTGTCCATGTGGCCTGTAGTCATGCAAGCTGTCTGGGCTCCAAGCCAGGCCCTGACTGTGACCTTTGCTGGTCTCTCTGTGGGGTAGGTAAGCATCAGGATGTCTTGTATCGGTGAACAGTATGGTAGTAGTTGTCAAATGCTTGTTCAATGCACTCCATCCAGACACAATTAAGCTGACTAAATTGTTCCCCAACAAGGCTGTAGAAGGTGGAGTAAGAGTGCTCTTGCAAGCAACACTCAATAATCATGTTGATGAGCTTGATCTAACCAATGGTCATGAGTATGATTTTGAAGTAATTAAAATAACAATACTCACCTCTTCTCCTTCCTTCGACTGGATCTTCAAGAGCTTGTGGACCGCTTCTTTGTAGTTGAGAGCGTTCATGATAGTAAGGTATATCATTTGTTGTAGATTGACCAAGTTCGTCCCTGTCCGATCCAATATACCTTCTCATTCTTTGGCCACCAAAGGGTCAAAATTATGACACAGGAGTGAAAGAGTCACATACCTTGCTCTTCTTCCTCACTTGACTCCTCTGGACCAGATTCATTGTCAGAGCCCTCTCCAAGAATCTCAGCTTTTATTGCTTTGTACTTTTCCTCATTCTCAGTGTAATTGGGGTCAAACTTGAGAATATCTGCCTGAACGCTTCAAATACTAAAACTGGTAACAAATGACAGAAACTCACTGAGCCCTTCTTGTGCCTGCAACTCCTCTTCAAGGCATATGTGGTGCATAATTTGCTCCTCTTCCTTTATGAGGTCCAACCCATCTGGTATGATTGGGTTGTCCTTATACTTGTCTTTCCAGACCTGCATAAGCACCTCTATCATATATTGTATGTGATGACTGATGGTCCCCTCATTGAGAACATCATGGAAACAGTCAAAAACAAGTGCATTTGCTTTCGGAGAGTTTTCCACCAGAAATGCACTGACCTCATGCATGAATCCAACTGCAATCTCAATTGAGTATCCATTCAGTGCTCAAGGAGGAAGATGAGAGTTTCAAGTGCAATAATCTCATGTGTGACAGCTTGATTAACGAGGTGAGCAATGAAAGTTGTTGAAGAATGACAAACAGTCTGTCCAGCATGACATCAATGATTTGAAACAGGCAGGAAAGAATTGCGACTTACTTTGTCATTATGCTTGAATGCACATCAAAACTGGCTTATGAGCCAGGTTAAGATGAGCTCTCCCACTTGAGGAAGTTTTGTGTTGATAATGGCCACCAGAGTGGTGAAAACAGGTGTAAAGGGTAAGCTGGATGCCTGTGCTTTCATGATGCTGTGGGTGAACAGTCCTTGACCTCGTATGAGGTTTTCTGAGAATGGTTTGGGAACAACCTGCTTGATGTCAGCGACATTGACTCAGTTAATGATACCAGTGATCGATTTGTGCAGCATGTCCCAGGATGACTGTAATCTTGACTTGACTGAACATGGAGATGAAAAGTTGGTGGCCAGACAAGGATGATTATGTCAGCAGCTAGTCATCCATATGGCTACAGCGGCTCAAAGGTGGTTACTCACTGCTCATGTGCACTGCTCACCTGGCCACCAACTTTTCATTTCAGTGTTTATGATAGTAAGATAATCTACTATGATTTTATTTGAAGTAAGTCTCGAGATGCGAGGCATGGAGGCATTGGAAGGGGGGGAGGTAGCACGTGATTAGTAAGCAGCCACCAAGTGCAGATAAGATAGTATGAGGTGTAGTACTTCAGATCACAATAGCACACTGCAGAATTACATATAATTTTTGTACTGTCCTCTAGGTAATACACAGGGCTCGAAGAATATGAATTTTTTGTGAAGAAATATGCAGTACTTGGATCACAATCTTGGTTATATGTGTAAAATCAGCCTATGTTTTTTTTTTTTTTTTTTTTTTTTTTTTCAGACTTATATAGCGGTAGAACTATTCTAATTTTTATACAAGAACCTGAATCTAATTTACCTGGTTCCAAATCTGCAAAAATACTGGCAATCTGACTTGAATTGATTGAGATGTTCAGATTCTAAAATTTAGCCACTACATGTGTGTGATTTTGTTCATTTAGCTGCACCCTCAGTTTTGAAAATGGCCGTAATTTGAAACAAGGTCTCAAAACACTATACATTGCGACAAACCGAAGTTACATTGTAAGATGCTACATCTCTATGTACAATGACTATGTAGGTATGATTTTGTGGACAAGGTGATCTTTAATGTGAGTAATGAATTGATGAGAATGCACAAGTGGTTTGTTCAGGTTCATTATACATGAAAACATATGCCTCTTACAATCCACACTGACCTAGCCAAATTGCAATCCTTTGAAGTGATCAATAGCTTCATCCAAATGCTGCAGGTTCCTTCCATCAAGGAGGAGTTGCCCCATACCATTCCACCACACCACAGCCCAATCCTTGGCACACCCTTTGTGATCCTGACAGCTGCTAGAATGCACAATGGGGGGAAATTCTGCAGCGACCATGCAGATGTAGATGTACTCATCCAAATGGGACCTGACATAGACATATGTGACATAAGTATCCATCCCCATCCAGACATGGTGAGACTTCTTAATCTTTGTCAGCAGGACTTTGCAAAGCCTAGTGAAACCTCTTTTGAAGATGGCCCAAATCTTGTACTTGATGCCTAGATAAATGAGTTCAGAAGGATGGAAGAAGTATGCTCTCTTAATGATGCAAGAGGTGACGAAGCTGAGCATATGGGCACTGCATTGGAAATGGCAGACAAATTCCAGCAAGTTCTTGAGGTCATCCAAGGAATATTTGGCAGAAGGACAGGGACTAGAATGAGTGAATTCAGTAAGGGTCACCATCAGGGGAGTGCTCAGAGACTTACCACATGAACTTGAATTTGACAAACAAGTCAAATTTTTGCCACCAAGAATAATTGGTTGCCCATCAACCTTCCCCTCCTGGCTGTCTGGCACATATTGGCCAAGTGAAAAGATGTTAGTGAAGAGTTTGGACTTGTTCACCAAGATGTCATGATTGAGTTTGTACAGTGTATTCTCAACCCAGAAGATGAACATGCTATTTTTGAAATAAAATTCAGGATGGTGGGTGACTGTCACTGGCGCTGATTCAGTCATGATTAAGGTGAAATGGCTGATGGAACAGTAAGGGAAATTATATATGTTATTGTTTATTTGTTGCCTTGTGTTCTCATACATCCCACATACTGTTACATCGCATTCTGGGGTTTGGGCTTCAAGCTCGAAGACCCATCCCATCAATGGTGAGATCACTTCCCAGTTCCATCCCTCAGCTGCCTGCAAGTACCACACTGTGGCCAGAAAACCTCATTGTGGCAGTTGATTTTCTCTCCAACATCTATTGGTGTGCTTTCCAAGTGTGGACCCAAGAGGACAACGATATAATTCACCTCAAGTGTCATCTTGGCTCTCTGGAAGGAAACATGATGCATCTCCTTACAGTGATTGAAGAAGACTGTGTGGGTGCTGACCTGTCCAAGTGGCTCTCAGACACCACTGAGCTAGTTGGGAAGCTGTATGCAGCAATTGCACACTATTGAGACAGCATGAGGACTTGGTGAGCAAACTTAAAAAAATGGTTCCCAATGCTATCAGCCTAACATACACATTCTTCATGCTTAGTGTTGATGAGAATGTAGAAATACTAAAGCTGGTAGCAGAAGTTCACACCGGTTTATGAGGACGACCAAGGAAGGTCATTGAGATCAACATTCTCAAGGAGGTCATTTCAAACTCAAGACACATTCATTCCACTGAACTCATGTGCCTTCTTGGAATCCATCAAAATACTCTGTGCCTTTACATGAGGTGCCATGGCATTGAGCATACATACACTGAGATTAGTGATGCAGACCTCAACAATCTTGTCAAGGAATTTAAGAAGAGACGGCTGGAATCTGGACTTCGTTATATCATTGGGTTCATGTGGGCAAAGGGGGTTCACATTCAGTATCACCATGTAATCCAGTCACTTTCTAGGGTGGATCGCCTCAGTCAAGCTTTATGAGACTGCTGTACAAAGACCAGGTGCAAGTATCATGTCAAGTGGCCCAATGCCTTATGGCACATGGATGGTCACCACAAATTGATTCAGTGGGGGATTGTTATCCATGGATTCATTGATGGGTTTTGCTGCTGTCACACACCAAAGGTGTTTGGTGAGGTGGACATGGATGTAGCTGATGAATGGAGGTGAAGACCATAGGCCTCATGCAAAGAAGGACAGCCAGCAATGTCGGCAGTCATCCCTTGCACAAGAACAAGTTGTTGATGCCAAAGAAAAAGGAGGAGGCAAGTTAAGTGCCAATAAAATTCTTAAGTGCCCGTGTACGGCATTCCAGTTTTCGATGTATCTCCACCAATTCTGCAGACACCGAAACCATTCCCACACTCGCTTGTAGTGCTCAGCCACACGATCCTACCTTCCAAGATTGGAAAGGATTTGCACACTCCACATGTTTCTACAGCACTCCCTCCAAAAGACGCTCATTTCGCTAATTCTTCTGATATGGCTGCCTCCACATCAGTCATTTCACTTGTCCCCTTTGCTAGGGACCATGGCTACATATATCTACCAGGGGTTCCTACCAGCTTCCGTCCTGAAGTGTCCTGGTACATCCCACCCTCATCTGCCCCCTCTCAGCCCATCCAGCTTGGACAGTGTGTTCTTTTTGTCAGTATGACCTCCAGGAGGACATTCTTTGGTTGCCTCAGGTCTGTCATTTGCTTGGAAAGGTCTTATGTGGTTGTTTCAGTCTCTCCAGTCCAAGAAGCATATGGATCCTTCCTCCCTGCCCCCTGCAACATCTTCATACCAGTCTCATCTGTCATTCTTCCAAAATTGCGACAGCTACAGTATAATCTACTGTTCTCCACTCTCCCTGATCGCGTCCATGACAAGTATGATGCACACCCTGCCTCCTTGTTGCAAGATACAGCAGAAGATGCTCCCCCTTCATCCTCTCTTCCAACAGAGCCTTGTTCATGAAGTTTTTATTTGCTTCACTGAGAGGATGGTTTGGGGGGGAAAGTTGTGATCTCCTATGCTCCTGTCACCCCACAGACCCCCAAAGCTTGACCCCTGTTGACATCTGACTCACCCTGTCCGCTTTTGGATGTACTATATCGGCATCAGATCAGCGCTGCCTCTCTGTCATCCCACTTTGGCCTAGAAGCGATCTCTTCAAGATGTGAAATGCACAGCCTCCCCCTAATGTGATTCCAGTGCGCTTTCTTGGTTCCTGACATTGCTTGACTCATACATTGACATTCTGACTGTCTTTGACTCACCTATTGCCAATACTTACCAATCTTTTGACTTTGCTTACTGATTCTTCGCTTTTTGGCTTACTTATCCTTACCAATGCTTACCAATGCTTTCCAAGACGATTACCCATTGCTTACATTCCTTACTCATCAGTTACCAATCACTTACCAAGTGTTTGCACCTTGTTTTCCATAGGCAATGCCCCTGTACTGTATATCAGTCACTGTACTTAGGTAGCAAAAAAAAAAAGAAGACATCAGAGAGCCCCTCTTGCTCGCAATTTATCATCTCTCAGTAAATCATTCATCAGCTTCAATAGTTGAGACTTTATTAAGGGTCTAGCTATCATCTACTTTGCTTATCATCATCTATCATCCATATACTTTGCTCCAAGCCCTCCCTGAGCTCAGTACAGCTTAGGACATTGAATTAAGTCACCATCCATCCTTCTGTAGGCTGACAGCAGTCTACCCTATCGCTTTCTATCACATTCTTGCTCCCTCTTCGTCAGGAGCACCCCCAACCCTCAGCACTCATCTTTGAGTGTTGTAGCTCGCAAAAACCCTCCCAAAGAACAGGTTCTACCATCTAGGTACCGCATAGGCACACCACCACTCGCTTTCATTGTCTTTTGTGTTGGTTTTGGTTGGTTTTCACCACTGAACCTCACTTTGACTCACACAGCACAGTACATTTATCAGTCATCTAACTTGCAACATTCGTTGATTCATTCTTAGGTTACTGCAATATGTGCTAGCGATAATAATTGGTCAGCAACCATCCTTCACATATTTAAACAAGTGATTGAAGAATATAGTATGCCTTCCCATGTATGTGGAGACTGCAGTGGTGAGAACCTTGACATTGCAACCTACATCATTATGAAGAATGGCCACCACCAAGGCTTGTTTATCTGGGGAATGTTAGTATATTTTACATTATTCTTGTATTTGTCATTGCTAATCACACATGAATCTAGATCAACTCGAAATTGTCGTATTGAGCATTTGTGGGTCGAAGTTGGATCTCAGTTCACCAGATGCTGGTGCACATTCTTCACTCAGCTTGAATGTATTCACTTGCTTGATGTCAACAATGCATCACATATCTGGTCACTCCATATACTTTTCCTCAACAATATCAATCATGATTGTCAGGTGTTTCGAGAGGAGTGGAATTGCCACCCAATAGATGGCCCAAGTGCTAACAACAAGAGTCCCAAGGTAAGATTTCAGTTTTGTTAGTTTACTACTCTACTCATTCTGTGATATACAAGGATATGTGCCTGTTAGGTCAAATTAAGTTTGGTGTATACCAAGATCATGAAGATCATGAAGAGCTTGAGGGACTTGGCCTTGCTGATGATGAAGTAATGGATATGGCCGATGTGATTGCACGTCAACAGCAAGTACATATTAACCATGAAGCCATGCACGTACCCTCACTTCGAAATCCATTTAGGAGTGATGAAGACAAGCTAATCTTTTTCAGTGGTCTTCATGAGGTAATTGCTCAGGACATCACACCAGAGAGTTTTGGGTTGATGCCAGTGGAGTGGGGCTCGGATGGATATCTGACAATTGAATCTATTCGCATTGGTTGATGTGCAGCCAAAGATGTGGACATTTCATTAGTGGACTCAATTTGGTATTCCTGGGCATGTCTATGGTGCCAGGCTTTATCCATGTTGTCATATTACTTACTAAGTCTTAAACTTTGATCTAGTATGCTGGCGCCAATTATAAATTGCATGGTGCTCTGTTCATCTGTCTTTATGCCCTGTTTGTTCTTGCCCATATCAATGCCAGCTAAGGAGGGCCTCTGCCAGGGCAGTGATGGTACTTGTGACTGTGAAGCATTCTTCCCCACAAAAGACAATGCTGCCCACTGCTTGGAATGTCTGCATGGGATAAGCAAGCATTGCAATGCTGATGGTACCTCAGTTGCCACCCAACCTCTCCCTGCCATATCTGGCTCATCAAATGTGGTGAGAATATTCAAAGGCCTTGCTAACAAACATCCCACCAGCTTGTCTCAGGTTGCTCAATTGGATCCCTGTCACAAGGCACTAGCAACAAAAACTTCAAAGCTAGTCCAGAAGGTAACTTCTTCTACCAAGCACAAGGCAAGTATTTCCAGTGGTACATCTGGATCGTTCAGATTAAGTATTCTATTCTAGGTGTCATCTCAGAGGCACACAAGTAGTCAGAAATTTCATTTCAGTTCCATTGCCATCGTAACTTGTGGATTGGACATAAGTCTGTTTCTTCAATCCAATGTGCAGATTCTTACATCACAAATTGAAATCAAGGCTAATGGTCAGTTGCTGAAAGACCCCTTACCCCTACTGCTTGCAGATAGGAAGATATTCATCCAGCAGCTCGAAGATCATGGATGTTACCTGCAACAAACAATCAAAATTGACACATCATTGTCCCATGATGATGTCACCACCCATCTTCATTCTTGGTTCCCCAAAGTCTTTGAACATTTTGATGCACATCGTGAGCAGGCTAATACTGCTTCCCAGACTCAACCTGACTGGCAACTTCTTGTTCTGAATAATGGGAAACTTGAGCTCTCCACAGCCATCTGCCCAAATGGTATTGTTCTTGCTCATTTCAAGGGACGTCAGAAGGCAAGTATAGCTGATAGTAACTTGTGGTTTGGTATGTCACTACAGTGCGATAGTTGCAATCACTCATATTTTTTGAACAGTTACCCAAAACCTGGTCCCACTTGCTGTTTTCAACAAGTGGAAAGTTGAGTCAGACATTGTGGGAATGGACATCAAGGTGATGAGTAATGATGGAAGTGAAATGATTGAACTCTCAAGCTCTGTCACTGAGCTCAACATCAATGCTGTGGCTGAGACAGGTAATAATTTCCAGTGCTATCATCTTTACTAACAGAATTAATGGGTTTTCTTCAAGTAGGCAAGAGGTCTCGCCCAATCACCATCTTATCCTCCCCCGAGGTGACAGATTGGTGGTCCTTCTGCAAGAAATGCAAGGATCGTAAGTCATGTGTTCCCAGCTCTATGACAACATGCTAACTGAGCAATATCTACAGTTAATGCAAATGCACTGCCCACCTGGCCTTGTCAACCTGCAGGGCCCATTTCTGGGCTGGTGATGGTGAAAGAGCTCCTGTCTGACAGCAATGACAACACCCCACCCAACCCATGGTCTGCTCAATTTGATCAAATGACATTGCTGAAGGATGATGATGTCTCTGATATTGATCTGTGAACTTGCCAACCATTTCCCCTCCCCTCCCTGCTCACTATATGTCTGTCCCTAACAGTAGACTGATGTTTGTAATGATTCATTCAATGTGATTTGTGATTTCCAGCAATAATGTCTGTCCAAACATGTCAAACAACTAGCATTGATATGAGACCACCTTGTCATTGAAAATGAAGACATTCATGTTCATGTTACCCACCACTTGGTAAATTTACTAGCCAATACAATCATTGTTGTTTCTATATACCTCATGCAAAATTCAATCATTAATGTGCAGAGATTGATTGTTACATTATGTAGGCATATATGAATATACACATAGTATTGTTATGTGATATGCGGTTGAGTGGTGTGGTTGTGGAGGGTAACAATGCAGCTGGAAGGGCATGGTAGTGCAGTTGCACAACCATGAAAAGTAATGACATGGTTGAATGGGCATGGTGGCATGGTTGCAGAAGGTAATGATGCAGTTGAGAGGGCGCAGTAGTGCAGTTGTGCGACCATGACAAGTAACAATGCAGCCAAATGAGCATGGTGGTGTGGTGGTGTGGCTGCGAAAAATAAATGTGCAGATTTTACACTATATGGTTATGTAATGATTATGTAATACAAAGTGTGCCATGAAAATCTTCATAGTGCTGTGTGCACAGACACCTGCCCTCCATGATAATATATAATACCAAACAGTGTGAGGTCAATTGCTTGAAGCAAAAAAAAACAAACTATGATATGATAAGTACAAGCAAAGAGTTAGGTACAGTACAATGTAAGATACTGTAGCATTAGTGTGACTCAAAGTTGCCAGAGGTTTGGCTGTGGAGTTGGGTGTTTGTCAGGTGTTTGATGTGAGTTTTCAGCCGAGGACAGCAGAATTCAAACTCCAACCATTCTCTGCTTCACTCTCCTTGATCATCATCAACAGCCTGTCATCCATGGAGTCCGATTCCTCTGGTCCCCCCCCAGCAGCACAACCCTTCACATCAGCAACAAAAAGTAGCAGTCCCTTGAGTTCTCTGGGAGAAATCCTATGCTGTGCAGACTGATCATCTTATCAAGTGGTGCAGGACCTGTCATGCTAATGACTCATATTGCATCACAAATTGAGTACCAAAGTACAAGCATGTGACTGCACAAGAAGTGACACATAATTTAACTTCACTAGCATTGGAGCACTAGTCTTGGCCAACTGAAGTCATACTGTTGAGCCCTTGTGGGTACAGCAAGCAGAGCTAAGGTGGTTGCAAAGTAGATTTCAAATGAGGAGCTGGTACAATACATGTGGGTTTATATACATATGTAGAGTACCTGCAGAACAAACATTCAAAAATGATTAAATGTACACCTGTGTCTCTAATTGGGCAGTACCAAGTCATCCTGATGAGGGTGCAAGGATAACTGTGTCTGTGGATGGGGGTGAATGTGGGGGTGAAACAAGGGATATCTGCATATATGACATATGCATGTAAACAGGCAACCTGGGTTGATGGGTTGACTGCATCATGTGACCATGTGGATCAGGACCACCAGTGGATCACAGAAGGAAGGGTGAATGGACATTGTCTGGCTATAGTACAATGTGGGGTGAACAGGGGGATACCATAAAAGGAAACATACTAAGAGAATGTGAGTCCAGAGGTGGCTCACAGGGGACAGAACATCATCACTCAAAAGCATGACAAGGGGGTAAGGTACAAAGACTATAAAAGGAAAGGAATGTGAGTGGTGCATAACATCACCCCCCCCCAAAGGCCTGAGGTCCTCTGAAGGCAGGTAGAGACCTTGCACTACCCAGGAGTGGATTTCAGTGTTAGTTGCCACCTTGAGTTGGGCAGTTAGTCAACCAATGTCCAATGCACGAGCATCAGAAACAGGCAAACTTATGGAGGGGATGCTGCCAATTGAGGGGAATGAGCCCACCAAGTTCATGTTCGCTGAGGGCATTAACAGGGACTGGAATGAAGGGACTATCTGGCAAAGGTCAGGTTGTCTTAGTAGCATAGAAGATGGCCTGTCCTGCTGAATCTCCTTGGGCCTGAGCAAAAAAGTTGAGCCAGTTGTGAGGTGATCCATTGAAGGGGATGTCTGCAAGAGCATCTGCAATGGCCTGGAAGTGTTCTCAACCTTGGCCTGGTATAATCTTCTCCCAGCAATCACAACACCTCTGTTTTCCATCTCCTTGAGCTGTTGAAACTCCTCCTTGTCTGTGTTGTGATTAATGAAGTTATGAGTATCTCAGTGTATGAAGAAGTCACTGTATTGGTACCTAATGAAGTTATGAGTATCTACACTACATCAGTACCAAGTAAATGAATGTAAGTATATGTATGCTCACCTCAGTGTACAAAGAAGTCACTGAGGTGGAAAGGAACAGTGCAGAAAATTTATAGTACTGTAATTAGTAAGCATAGTGACATCAGAATTTAATTCCGAGGGTCAGGGAGAAACTCTGAGCCCTCTGGGAAAAACTCCGAGAGACTACTGTAATTCTGGAACACATTCTTGACACTCCCCCTCAATCAGAACAGAGTCTGAGTGCAGATGTGAAGTGTTTCACCTTGATGCTAGGTAAAGGTTTGGTAAGGGTATTGGTGACCATGTCATCAGTAGGACAATAAATTAAACAGAAGGAATGGTTTTCCACAGTGAAATGAATGAAATGGTATCATATATTGATGTGCTTGGTGTGAGCATGGTAGCTACCATCCTTGGTGAGTGCAATGGCAGATTGGCTGTCAGAATACAGCAGGATAGGATGTTTGAGTGGTCGGAAAACTTCTCCAATGAGTTGTTGAAGGGACAAGCCATCCTTGGCTGCATGAGTTGCTGCAATGTACTCTGCTTCTGCAGTCAAGAGCATGATGAGTTCTTGTTTCTGCAAAGCCCAACTGACAGCTCCACCATCTAGTAGGTAGTTGTATCCACTTATAGTGCATCAATGCTCCTGTGAAGTTCTGTCTGCATTGGTATAGCCCTCAAGGCCTCATGCTGAATTTCCAAATGTCAAAGTGAGTGCTTTTGTGCCAGCAATATACCTGTAGATTTGTTTTACAGCTTCCCAGGGAGTCATGTTGGGTGTGTTACTGAACTGTGTGACTGTAGAGACAGCAAATATGATGTCTAAGCACATTCCAACAGCAAGGTGCATAAGGGAGCCTACAGCAGCACAGTAGGGTACATTTTTCATGCATGCAGCTTCTTTGGCTGGCTGTGGAATTTCTCTGTGAGATAGTTTTATTCCAGGGTCCATCAGAATTGTGGCAGGCTTGCAGTTGGCAAGGTTATATTTCATCAGGATGGCCTCAATGTAGGACTGCTGTGACAGGGATATGGTGTGGGCTTCTCTATTCCATGTCACCTTCATTCCAAGTAGCCAACTGATGGGCCCTAGGTCAGAGATTTTGAAACAAGTGCTGATCTCCTGTTTAAATGAGTGAATTAACAATGGGGAACTGCCTATTACAGTGCAGTCATTGGTGTGGCTGGCAAGAATGAGAATTTCCAATCCTATGTGACCGTAGAATACTCCCCAGTCTGCATGTGCCCTGATGAGTCCAAGATCTGCTAGGGTAGTGCATAGCTTCTGGTACCACTGAAGTGCACCTTGTTTCAAGCCACATAATGCAACATTTAGCTTCCCAACTGGACAGGAAAAATTCTGCCCTACAGTGTAGCCCTCAGGGAGTTCCATGTAGATGTCTTCCCCATCTCTGAGTTTGCCATTTAAGAATGCTGAGTGGAAATTGAAGACATCAATGTCCCAGTCATTGCATGCAGCAATTGCAAGTATGGTGTGAAGCAATGCAAACCTTGCAACAGGAGCATAGGTTTCATCATGGTTGACACCCTGTATCTGAGAGTAGCCCTTAGCAACTAGGTGGGCCTTGTACTTCTCAATTTTTCCAGCAGCATTGCATTTGATCTTGAAAACCCATTTGCATCCTATGACATTTGCACCTTTGGGGCACTCAACAACATCCCAGATATGTGCTTCCTCTAGGCTCTTTAATTCCGCATTTATGGTGTTTTGCCACTTTGGCCAGTCAGCTTGGGATTTTGCCTCCTGTACTGTCAATGGATCCAGCCCTTCAGCTTCAACCATCCCTGCCACCACAGCATACATGATGTTAGTGTCATCTTCATCAATAGCTAGTTCTTTGTCAAATACATAGGTGGCATTCTCTTGGGATTTAGGGCTGTTAGGGTTGCTGTCACTCTCTTGGAGTTCTTTCACAAAGTTGAGAGGGATGCATCTGTTGCAAGTTCCTTCACCTGCACATAAGTGCCTCATATAGTCTGATTCAAAGCACTGGCAAGTAGAATGTTGAGGTTGAGGTGGAGGTGTTTTGAAATTTTCTCCAAGTGGGTCTGAAATGAGTCTTGGAATTTCCAAAGTTGCTTCAGTGGGTTGCTCAAC